ATTTGAGAGACACTATAGATGATCTGCTTCAACTTCCACAGGTTACTCCTAAAACCAGCCTGCCTGAGAGCCCAGAGGCCGATGCCAGTTCTCCACTCCCTTTTCACAATCACTCCTCCTCCTCCTCACAATAAAAAACTGTTTTAACCCTTCCTGAAGATGACTAAGAAACATTGCTCTACGGTCCAAAATCCTCACCCAAGGCATACTTTTTTTAAAAAGTGTCATTTACGGCAGAAAGTGCGGAGAGCTGAGGCCGGAGCGACTGAAGGCAGCATCGCCCGATGGCCACCAGGGGCCCCTTCGCCCCGCCTCAAGGTTTACCGTTTTCCTTCTCATCTCTTTGCTAATACCTATTTTAGAGTTAGAAACCAGGCTTGAAAAAAATGTCACGGGGATGCATTTTTAAATTTGTATAAATGTAGGAAGTGCAGCTTTGAGACACGGATATACTGCATGTGGTGAAGCCAGGGCGCTGAGTGCAGCCGTCACCTGGCGTATACACCATGTCCATTTGGTAATTTCCCATCCTCACGCTTCCCACTCCGACACGTTTCTGAGGCTCCGGTGTCTGTCATTCCGCACTCTGCGTCCATGTATACACAGCATTGAGCTCCCACTTACAGGTGTTTAACACACTTATTCAATTAAGAGTACACAGTGGCCTTCTTTTCGGATGAAAAGTTGAGTCTGGTTTGAAAATGAGGACTGGATTTGCTCACAAAGTTAAAGGGACGGAGTTGTAAGAGAAATCAGGCAAATGCAGATGCTGGCTCATACATAGATAAATGGAATCAAATTTGTCATAAATTAGTTGAAAGAAGTGAAGTGAATCTCTTACGGTGAGGTTGAAATTATTCTCTCAAATAAATGAATGAGATGGATTGTGAGGGCATGCATGAAGAAAGAATAAAAGGAATTGTAGGGTGACAGGTGTTGGGGGAAGGAGAGAGGGCCTGGGATGCTTGGGAACAGGAGAGGTTAGAATGAGTGGTTGGGTCGGACACGACAGTCCAATGAGTCTTTCTAAATAGCTTCTTGGTGTCTGCTCGAGTGTTCCAGCAAATTTCCTTGAGAGCAGTTGGCAAAGGGGAGGAGTCACAGGAAGGGATTTGAAAAGATGGTGGTGTTCACCCTCCTTAGGTAGACGGACCATGCTGCCATTGTGTCCACTGAAAGAGCGACGTTTGGGAAGGGTCAAGAAAAGCACCAAGGCTCTATTTGGGGAGTCGAAAGAGCTTCTCCAGACATAAGGGTAGCTGACGTTGGAGGTGGGAATTCTGTCTTTGGAGCTTGCGGACACTCGTTTGGAAAGCCGACATGGTGAAGCCCTGTCTCTACTAAAAATACAAAAAAAGAAAAAGAAAAAAGGAAAAATAAAAAAATGAACCAGGTGTGGTGGTGTGTGAAAGCAGAGTCCTGGAATTAAACATCGACTAAGGTTGGTGATAAGCTCTACGGAGGCCTAGAGGAGATAACGAAATACATAGTCTTGTGATTTTATAAGCGTTTTATAAGCATTTCGAGAAAGTGTGAGCAGTAGTAGCAAATGTAGGTAATACTAAGCAAACATGAAAAATAGCATGATTTGCAGAATGTGGCTTTGGATGTTGGCTGAGAGTGCGGACCATGGACATGGTTGGGACATGTGGTTTAGGGTGATGAGCACAGTGTTTGTATCCCGAGTAAATATCTCTGGATCGGTGTCACTGTGTGTCACAGACACTGCATACATAGGGCGAGAAGTAGCAGCACTTTGAGCCTCAGTTTTCTTGCACAAAAACGCAGGAAATAATGTTCATCTCCTAAGGTTTGGAAATGATTGAATGCTTTAACGTATGGGAATAGAAGGCTTGCTGAAACTGATGATTTCTTCATTCTAAAAATGATTTTTCGATAAGTAATAATAATTAAAAAAAACAAGCAAAACCTTAATAGTATGCAAGAATCAGTGTGGAAAGAGCAGAAATTATGTTGCCATGTTCCAAATTCTACCTCCTACCTTTTAATAGTTGCAGAGCCCTGGGCAATTCAGTTAGCTTCCAGCTGAATCTCTATTTTTTCACGTCTAGAGCAAGAATTATCACAGTTTACATATTATTTTCACTTTAACTTGGTGCTAAATAAATGGGAAATATATGTAGCAAATGTAGAGGAAACGGAAGCACAGAGACTTTAGAAAACCTGCAAGAGAAAGCAGAGCTGCCCCGGGACGCAGCTGGGGACTACCCTCGGGCCAGAGCTGCCCCGGGACGCAGCTGGGGACTACCCTCGGGCCAGAGGCCGGGCCCTTTCACTTCTTCGCCTCCTAAAGAGGGGCAGAGCTGGCAGGGATCCTCATGCACATTACCCTAACAATCAAGACGCTGATTCTGAGTAAAAAAGGTTAACACTTAAATAGATTTTGCTTTAAAATTCAATGGTTCCATTACAGGTTAGGGGAAAGCTGGTTGGGAAATTGCAAGTGTAATAAAATTCTGACAATCTCCTTTCTCTCTTTTTCTACATTCGGTTTAGAAGGTCCTATGAAAATTTTCTTTGCTCACACATTTTAAACAAATAGAGCAATAAAGAAATTATAAGAAAACCTAATGAATTGTTTTCAATAATAAAAATACCATTCATGTAAAAAATCTAATAAAGCTATGCATTCTATACTGTTAAACCTTGGTTTATTTGTTTGTTTGTTTGCTTGCTTGTTTTTTTTGATTATGTAACTTTTGTTCTTTTCATTCTTTTTAGTTTTAAACTTTTGTTTTAGATTCAGGGAAGGTCACCTTTTCAAACTGGATGTTAAATGGACACACCGGAGTGCTTGGGAGGGAGAGTCTGGAGACTTGCTATACGACACTCTCTTTGAAGGATTTGGTATTATTGGTGGTGCTACTGTTACACAGAATAACATCATTTTCTAAATGAGTTCACATTTGGAAGAGAGGAACATATATCTGAAAATTTTTTCAGTAGGAAACTACATTAAAAATCTATTGAGAGGCAGGCATAGTGGCTCACGCTTGTAATCCCAGCACTTGGGAGTTTGATACGGGCAGATTGCTTAAGGTCAGGAGTTTGAGACCAGCCTGGGCAACATGGTGAAACCCCGTCTCTACTAAAAATACAATAATTAGTCAGGTATGGTGGTGTGTGCCTGTAGTCCCAGCCACTCCGGTGGCTGAGGCAAGAGAATCACTTGAACTTGGGAGGCAGAGGCTACAATGATCTGAGATCATGCCACTGTGCTCCAGCTTGGGTGACAGAGTGAGACCCTGTCTCAAAAACAAAACAAAACAAAAACAACCCTCTGCCCACACAAACACACAAAAAAATTTTGAGAGGTCAATTTTGGATAAATAGGAGTTATTTTTCTCCAAGGATTTTCTCTGTGCAACACCACTGAAAGTAATTTGGCTTTGGCTGGGCCACCAACTTTTGGGAATAGTTCAAAAAGAAGACTACTTCATGAAATTCAAGGGTGATTTAAATGGATACCTTTTGCCATCCCCTTGTTCCCGTAATGTTAGAATTCTTTTTTTTTTTTTTTTTTTTGACAGAGTCTCACTCTGTTGCCCAGGCTGGAGTGCAGTGGTGTATTCTCAGTTTACTGCAACCTCTGCCTCCTGGGTTCAAACAATTCTCCTGCCGTAGCCTCCTGAGTAGCTGGGACTACAGGCACACACCACCATGGCCAGCTAATTTTTGTATTTTTAGAGAGATGGGGTTTCACCATGTTGGCCAGGATGGTCTCGATCTCTTGACCTCGTGATCCACCCGCCTCGGCCTCCCAAAGTGCTGGGATTACAGTCTTGAGCCACCACGCCCAGCCTGTTGTGCACTTTTTAACGTCTAGAAAGACTAGATGTTTCAAATAGGACCTGAGTTTTCCACGACATACACAGTAGCATTGAATAAATGGTGCATATACATATCACAGACCATAATTTGAAACTGTCTTCTAAACAGGAACATTCTAGCCTAGGACCCTGCCCCTTTTGACCTCTATCAACTCTGTGGGCAGGTACAAGCGTCCGTAATGTTTGGAGGGGAATTTAGCAAGTTCGCTTCTGTGCTTTTAAGAACAGTCTTTCCTATTAATTTTTAACACCACATGTGGTCAATAAGAAACAACGGCGAGTCTCACCTCACTGCAGGTGCACTGGCGTAGAGCTCTCTGCGCATCCCGCTCCTCCCTGAACCAGTCCACAGTCACCATGCCACCCCCCACCACAAAATAACATTTCCTGTGGATTTTAATGAAAAGTTATTTACAAAAAGTGTCATTTTACGACCTCTAATTTTAACATATATCAGGCACTTCAGAGCATCTAGAAGGAATAGACATTCTGAAAAGCTTGGCGTTGTTAACTACATATACAGGAGTCAGTAGTAAAATACACATGAAAAAATGGATAGAATATGAAAATGTAACTATGACCGTCGGGACTAGCAGGTCTCGCCCAACTCGACAGAGCGGTCGCCCAGGACGTGCAACTGCCGGCTCCGTGGCCTAAACGCGTGGCCAAGCCACGCCCCTGGAGCCTCCCTCGTCCCCCACAGCCTCACGGCCTTCGAGTGCGCTCGGGTGGCGCCACGTTTCCTCCCTGCTCACCCCAGGCACAGGGCTGAGGACTGGGGGGACGCGGGGGGCTCCGGTCTCCCAGCATTATCAGAGTTATTATCCATGGAGGGTCCTGGAATCCACCCCCTTCGGATACTGAGGAACAGATGTAGAACAATGAAAGAAGTTTACAAAACAAGATGACAGGCAACATGTATATATACAGCAAAATCCAACAAAGACAAATTAACAAAACTGTGATAATTAGCAAATAATACATGTATTTTCTTGGCCTGGAAATGGTGTGAGCACACTGCTTTCAGATTTCCATCTACTTTGGACTCAAACAATGTTAGAAGAAAAACGGCATCCCACGTACCCTGTCCTCCAAGGTCCGTTCGCTCTGTGTAAACTTGATGTTCCTCCTCAGAAGGGGCTGGGGTCTCTAAATCAGTGCCCGCGTGCCTGCAGAGCCACAGCAGCTCTCTGACACGGTGTGCTGGAGGGCGTTCTTTACCCCCGTGTTCCTCGGGGTGTAAATAAGTGGGTTCAGCGCAGGAGTAACTACGGTGTAGAAGAGAGCTACGAACTTGCCCTGCTCGTGGGAGGTGCTCCTGGCTGGCTGGAGGTACATGAAGATGATGCTCCCGTAGAACAGAGACACCCGGCCACGTGGGAAGAACAGGTGTTGCATGCCCTTCTCCGCCCTTCTGCGGACTTGATCTTCCACACGGCCCACGCAGCGTGGCCATAAGAGACGAGGATGAGCCCCAGAGGCCGGACAACAAAGACAAAGCTGGCCAGGTGCGTCTCCACCTCATCGAAGCTGGTGTCCACGCAAGCCGGCTGCGTGATGAGGGGCATCTCACAAAAGAAGTGGTCGACGCGATTGTTCCCACACAGCGTGGAGCCCACCATGCTGGTGGTCAGTCCCCCCAGCCGTGAGACCAAAGCCAGTCCCAGGCAGAGCCGTGGATGCTTAATGACAGCGTAAGGGAGTGGCCTGCAGATGGCAGCATAGCGGTCATAAGACGTGGTGGCAGGACAGGCTCAGGTGCCCCCAGCCAGTGGGAGACACAGAACTGGGCCACACACCCTCCAGAGCTTACGGTTTTCTGTGGTCCCCACAGGTGGGCCGGGCGCTGTGGGACAATGCTCGTGGTGAAGCTAATGTCCAGGAAGGAGAGGCTGGCTAGAAAGAGGTCCATAGGCGTGTGGAGGCGCACGTCCACACAGGGGAGCGGAATGATGATGCCATTGCCTGAATCGATACCACGTGAAAACCCAAGACAACTACCAAGAGGACAGTTTCTAGTGAGGGTTGTGCAGAGAAGCCCAGGAGGACAAAGATTTTTGGAGAACTCACATCGGTTATTTCCATCCTCGTATGCTGGGGGTGGGGATCCCACCAAGTGATCACATCAGTTAGCAAACGTTAAAAGTAAATTTTATTTTATTTTCTCTTATTCTTTTTTAGAGACACAGTCTCACTGTGTTGCCCAGGCTAACTTCAAACTCTTGGGATCAAGCAGTCCTCCGACCTCAATGTCCCCGGTAGGTGAGACTACAAACACATGCCACCATGCCTGGCTAAAAGTAAGTTTTATACCCATTGTTTTCAAAAGCATCCACTCAACACCTCTGTGGATAGCACTGCATTACCTTCCTCAAGGCCAATTTGGAATGTATAATAAAAGACTCGGGGGGTGTTCATTACCTGGGGAAAAATGGACATTCATGCAAAATCCTTAGCATTTTTTTAAAAAATTGAAATGTTACTTATAGTAGCAACATCCAGAGTCAACCTAAATGTTTAGTAACGAAGGGTTAACCTTTCATGTGATGAACCACTGCACAAGTGTCAAAATTGTGCCCTCTCAAACCCCGAAACCCTGCAAATTTCTGCCGTCATTAAATATATGCAGGTTTTATCCCTCCTCGCCGCCTCTGCTGCTACCACTCTGGCCCATCTTGCCATCACTTATCATCTGAATTTTGATAGAATATTCTAACTTGTCTCCCTGCTTCTCCTTTGCTCCCCTTCCAAATACTCTCAAAAAAATGTTGGGGCTCAGAAAATGATACCCCAAAATGAAGGCCTCCGGAGAAAAGTTTCTCTTTCTCCTGCTTTGTCGTCCCTGGCCCCTCATTCTTCCCCGAGGCTAGCCATAGAAATTAGAATCTCTCCTCTCTCCACGGTGACTCATAGAAACCATAGGCAGACATAAAACCTAAAAATGTGACTCTACCTCTACCTTTCCATGCTAAAACTAGCAATAAATAAATTATCTGACCTACCTTATTGGATTGTAGGTCGTAAGACCTCCATTCCAGAGAGGTCCTACCCCCTACCCAAGAAAGAAGTGTCTCATACCAAGAAAGAAGGCACATTGCCCAGAGAGGCCAAGAAGAATCTCACAGACGGGCTCTGCTGGGCTTCTCCACTCAGTCCATCAGCATTAGATCACGCCCTTCATGTTTAATCGCATTTCCACACAGCTGTCCATATGTCTTTGAACCTAAGGATAAAAATGGAAAGTTTCTCCTGTATCTTTGGGTTCTCATCTGAAGGCTCCTCTGTCATGTAAAACTATGATCAGATAAACTTGTATGTCTTTTCTCCTATGAATCTGCCTTTTGACAGCTGATTTCCATGAGACTTCAGAGGACAAAGGGGAAATTTTCCCTCACGCCTACAGAAGCAATCAGAGGATGACATTAAGACATAATACGATCATGTCAGTCTGTTGCTCGACACCCTCATTTTCTCGGTACAAGGCTTGCAGCTGCAGTTTGCCGAACTTGAGCTTTCTCCCCGAGACATCCACACACCCCTGTTCTCACCTTCTTCAGGCCATTTTTAAAAGTCACCTCCCAACTGAGGCCCTCCGTCACTGAGTTACCTAATATTGAAAACCCTCACAGCTCCCTTCTCTCTCTTTCCTGAATTATCTTTACGTAAGGTAATCACTCATAACAAATAAACCACTCTTATTTCCTTTGTTTGCTCCCTGTTTTGTTCCATTAGACCATAAATTCCCTGGAGCCACAGCTTTCTGTTTTGTTTACCTCTGAGTCCCCGGCGTCTAACCCAGTGACTGATATGTAGCGGCCCCTTAATCAATATTCATGGACGCGCATTGTGAAACACGTTGCTGGAATGGCTCAGTGGGGTGGAAGAGGCAGGACTAGAGTAATATAAAAAGGCATAGTGGAAGGACTCAGTGTAAACCTTCAATAGTGTTGTCAGGAAAGAGCTCTTGAAACTGTCAGAGGCATGCACAGGGGTCCAGCCTATCCTCTGTTTTCATACAGATGAAATAAAACAAACTACCGTTTAGCAGGGGGAATGCATAAAGTCAGAAACTGGACAATCTGAGGGCGCTTCAGATATCCCTGAAGATCTCTGGGGCCCTTCTTTGCAAAAACGTTAATTTATTCTAGCCTGTATTTTAAAAAGAAGAATCAATCTACTGAAGTTAAAATTCATCATTGTAGCTGGGGAACAGAGCAGCTGTGAACTTAACTATCAGCCCTCTTAAAACCTCAGAGAGTAGAATTTACCTATCCTTGTAACTGGAAGTCAATAAAACAACATACACATGACCAGACATGTACATTCACAGTTTAAAAAATACATGTAGGTTTTCCATTGTGCATATATAGAAATGGGCATCAGAAAACGCCAGGCATTTGCTAATATTTACCTGTGGAAGCTGTCCCAGTGCGGACTTACCATGTCAGAACACCGAGACAATCATCTGACCTGTATGTAGCAGGCCAGGGGAGCATTAGCACTATGGGAGAAGGCATCCAGGAGCATACATTCCAACCTCCTCCAAACCAGGGAGGCAGGCCGGGGGTGGTGGCTCACACCCGCACACTTTGGCGGGCTGAGGTGGGGAATCACTTGAGCTCAGGAGTTTGAGACCAGCTTGGGCAACACAGTGAGAGATTGTCTGTACAGAAAAATAAAATGACCGAGTGTGGCTGTTTGTGCCTGTAGTCTCAGCTACTTGGGAGGCTGTAATAGCATGATTGTGTCACTGCACTCCAGCCTGGGCAACAGAGCAAGACCCTGTCACAAAACAACAAAGAAACGAATCAGGGAGGTCGTTGAGACCTGTCAGAACGTGATGTTTTCATCATGTGAACGTGAGAGAGATGAATTGGGATTGGGGTAGTTAGGTACAACGGAGTCAGGACACAATCAAAGTGGGTGGACTATATGCAGAGTCACTGCAGATGGGCTGAAAAACAGCAGGTTAAACTGACAGCTGCATTGTGACCCGTGGGTGTAAGTATTATATCCCCTCTGCGGAGAGATAAAAATTTTGTTAACTCACAGTTGATAGCATGTGGAAAATGTGTAAATGATGCCAAGAGAGGAACCACAAGGTCACTCAGAGGTAACAGTTTAGTAGAATTTTTGAGGAAAAAGAGATCTTTATGATGATCTATTTCAAGATACGTTTAGTAACTTATCCAAAGCCCCAGAGCTGCTTAGTCATACTGGAGCTATACCCAAGGTATTCAGATTCTTAGTACAAAAATAGCATTTTCAGTAAAGGAAGAGCTTTGCTTACCCACAGAGATTCACCAAAATTGTCAAAATTAAAAACTCACTTTTCAAAATGCAACCCTATTCCAAGCACTGTGCCATTAAGACAGAGACAGTATACTGAAAGTTAAGGAAACATCTCGACTTCAAATTTTGTCTGAGTTAACTACGTAGTCACAAATTGTATCCCAGAGCATAGGCCACCTGCTAACATATCAATGGCCACATGAGAAAATCAGATCATTTAAATGGATCAGTGCTCATCAATCTCAACTGAAATTACCAGAAATCCGAGCTCCCAGTTTATCTTTAATACTTACATTCCATAAACAACAACAGCGAACAAACGACAAACTGAAACGTCACTTACTCATGATGAGCTAGCAACGTCATCTCCATTTACGCAGGGTGGAAACGTTGTAAAATGGGCAATATTTTATTTCAAGGACTGACAACATTCATGAATTCAGTGCATGTGGCATTAAAAAATAGGAGATCAGCCAAGGGATTTTAAAGCACCTCAAATAGTGGAAATCTCTAAGTCCATGGTAGCAGACGTGCTAGATTCTGTTCAAATTCACGTCTACAGGACACATTCTTAAGTATTTAAATCACAATGGGATTGAACTAGAAGAAAGCACTTAAAATATTTTGTAAGAAAATTGATAATCAAAGGAGTGAGAGTGGCTCATAGTGTTTCCGGAATGAAATTATATGCTGACTCCAAAGGGCGAAGTCTTACATAAAGTCCTTATAATTATAAGACATTGATTGCAACCCCTGGAGCCTTCAGGAGGGAGCCTGAGGGTGATGGTATATATCAGGGGAGTAAAAGCAGAGGGAAAAAAGCTTTTGGGATTTCTTTCCCTATTGGGTAATTATAATTTTATTGTAATACACACACAGAATAGTTTCTTTTTTTGACTAGAACATTATTTTAGGCTTGTATACTCCCAAACTACTACAGAGTGTAAAGATTAAGTCTCTCTATCATGTAGTGGGGGAGATAGTCTGAGATATTTGTTCATTCTATTAATTTTGACATATGCTGCTATAGACTCTTTTTTAAAAAATACATTGATTTTATTATTGGTGTATACATCAGTGATAATTTTTTTCTTAATAGGTTAAATTTATTTTTATTTTGTTAAAATACAGATAACACATAAATCACCATTGTAACTATTTTAAAGTGTGGAAGTCAGTGGATTCAAGTTCTTTCACAAGACTGTACCATCACCTCTATTAAGCTTCAGAAAGTTTTCGTCACCTCAAATGGAAAACCTGGACCCATCGAACAGTCAGTCTTCATTGGCCAGCTCCACCCAGCCCTGGCAACCACTAACCTGCTTTCTGTTGGTATGGATTTTCCTATTTTGCATATTACATATAAATAGACTTACATAATGCACGTTATTTCTGTCTGGTTTCTTTCATTTAGCATGATATTTTCAAGATCTATGTTGTAGCACGTGTCAGTACTTCAGTCCCTTTTATAGAGGAATCATATTTCATCCTGTGGCTCTACCACCTTTTGTTTATTCATCTGTTGACACACATTTGGGTTTGTTTGTTGATGAACATTTGTTTCTACCTTTTGGTTACTGTGAATAGAGCTGCTATGAACATTCATATACAAGTTTTTGTTTGAACTCTGTTTTTAATTATATTGCGTATGCCTGGGAGTAGAATTTCTGGATCTTACAGAAATTCTGTGAACTTATTATGGAACCAGCAAGCTTTTCTGCAGCAACTAAACCATTTTTACATTCCTACAAGCAATCATTACCACGAGGTAATCTCTGCCCTCCGACCCAGAC